CAGACTGGAGTGCAGAGGCCGCTCCCGGCCACTGCAGCCTCGACCTGCTGGACTCCGGTGATCCTTCCACCTCAGCCTTCCGAGTAGCCAGAATTACAGGCGTGCGCTACCACGCCCGGCTGATTTTTTTCATTTTTTGTAGAGATGAGGTCTCGCTGCCCAGGCTGGTCTTGAACTCGTGGGCTCAGGTAATCATTTCACCTTGGCCTCCCAAAGTGCTGGGATTATAGGTGTGAGCCACCACACCCGGCCACTGTTATTTTTATATTTCTCAAAACACCCAACAGTGTCTCTCAGAAGGTTCTAAGCCAAAGTAAGTAGGCCAAAGGTAGTACTGGGAAATATATGAGAAAACAGCCATTGTTAGTGGCAATGTAAACTGGTTCAACCTTTTGAACAGTATGCAGTTTCCAGTATATATGTACACTGATCTAGAAAGTACACAGAGAGAAACATGCCCTATTAATATACTGCGAAGTACATCACAGAGCTACTTTACTTTGTTTATTTATTTTTTGAATTGGAGTCTCACTCTGTTGCCCAGGCTGGAGTGCCGTGGCATACTCATAGCCACTCCAGCATCAACCTGCTGGGCTCTGGCGATCCTTCTGCTTCAGCCTTCCAAGTAGCTGGAACTACATGCTGGGTGTGTGCTACCATGTCTAGCTAATTTTTGATTTATTGTAGAGACGAGGTCTCACCACATTGTCTGAGCTGGTCTCAAACCTGCGGGCTCTGGCAATCCACTGACCTTGGTCTCCCAAGGTGCTGGGATTACAGGCTGAGCCACTGAGCCTAGCCCACAGAGCTATTTAAAAATGTTCACTAAAACAGTATCATAGCAAAAACTGGAAACAAAGTAGAAGTCCACCAGTAGAGGCTTGGTTAAATCCACTGTAGGTATAGACATAATCCTCTGTACCTACTGAAAAGAATGAGTTTGTTGTTGGCACTGAACCATCTCCAAGATACTAAGTGAAAAGAACAAGTGCAGAGCAGACCATGATCCCTTCCCTATAAATAAAGGTTGAACCAACATTTATATATGTGCATCTTTTTTTTTCCTTGTGGAAGGTTAACTATGAAAATGTTAACAGCAATACTTTTGGGAAGTGGGATGATGGCAGAAGAGAAATTAACTTTTTATTTTAAAGTTGTGGCATATATTCCTTTAATTTAAAAAAGTTGCTTGAGTGTGGTGGCTAACCCCTATAATACCAGCACTTTGGGAGGCCAAGGTGAGAGGACTGCCTGAGCCTACAAGTTCAAGACTAGTCTAGGCAACTTGGCAAGACCTTGTCTCCACAATAAATCAAAAAATTTGCCGGGCGTGGTGGCGCATGCCTGTAGTCCCAGCTACTTGGAAGGCTGAGGTGGAAGGATCTCCTGAGCCCTGCAGATCAAGGCTGTGGTGGCTGTGAGTGTGTCACTGCAGTGCAACCTGGGTGACAGGGTGAGACACCAACTCAAAAAAAAAAGTCATTGAGTATTATCTGGATTATTGTTAGATGTAGTTTATCCTTTTTCTGTACTAATAAATGTTATAAAAATAATTATCATAATACTATAATATATATTATATATTTCCCAGTAGTGGTAAACTGCCAGGGGATTGACAGTTGAGGGAAACTGCTAGGGGAGGGAGAGGCATACCTCATCAGCAAGGGTACCTGCATAATGAACATTTGTATACCTAACCCGGAATTGTACCCCGTATCTTTGAAAAAAAAAAGATGGAACCATTAAAAAATAAATAAATACAACATCTGCAGAGCAGCAAGAATAAATGGAAAGAATACTTAAGTGAAACTTCTCAGGGTTAAGTGAAGAAAAAAAAAATCCTAGTTTATAGATGCCTCACATATTTTAGATGATTTAAAAGTACAAGGTGAGTTAACGATTTGTCCCAATCTGGTCCATTTTGGAATTTAAGATCAGTGTAAAACATCTTGAATGGGCAAATATATATCTCCTAATTACTAGTTCTGGGTTTTTTTTTGTTTTTGTTTTTTTTTTAGGGAATGAAGAGTCTTTTAAAGTTGCCAAGTCAATATTTATTAACTAAAGTTTATCTTCAATATCTAACACTTTATTTCACCTAAGTATGACAAATAAAGTTATTGGAGCTTGAACCTCAGAATTTAAGCAGGTAGGCTCAAGTAAGGGAAAATATAATGAGTTACAGAATTTTAAATAAAAGTAAGAATATAAACCTAATGTGTATAATCCTAAAACTTATCTTATTTTAAACTAAGATGATATGGCACCTTCTTGTTTTAGCTGAGAAATTAGCTTGTTTTAGCTGAGAAATTAGCTGTACTTACTGTTTTACTAACTCTAGTAGTAATGTACCATCTTACCATTTATTTTTGTAATTTAAAGATGAGTTATATGAATAACTAACTTCTTGATCAAAGTGAAAAGGTATAGTTACAATAGCTTATTATTTTACCAGGCTCAAAGTAGTATAAGACTATAAGTAGTTAATAAGCAGTATCACTTTAAGATGACTGACTTGGTTAATGCCAAGTGTTCTAGTTTCCAAAATTTGGAGATACTGTGATAAGTATTTCCACAGTAAAATCATCTCATAATTAAAAGTAACACCATTCCCCCTCCTTTTTCCCACAAAATATTTCAATGTTGAGCCACCTAGTGGTAGAACGATGTATAAATGCTATTCTATACCTCATGGTATTGATGTACATGTTTGCCATAGCAGAATTCATATTTCCACCAACCAACACCCTAAAGGAAAGAAAAAGATTAAGTTAAGCACAGAGAAAGGGGCACTGGTCTGTCTCAATACTGCCTCATGATAGTGATGATGGTACATGTAATTTAAAAACCTGTAATAGCAACACTATGGCTGAAAAGTAAAACTAAAGTGAGAGAGGAAAAAAAAAGACAAATCAGAGAATACTGCTGTTCTGTCTTGGTAAAGTAAAATAAAATAAAAAGTCTACATGTAAGTGTATTTCCCACTGATGCTAATAAGGGCAAAATTTTATCTCTATAAAGGAAGAGTTAACTCAAGCTTGAAATGTGACTGTTACATAGCTAAAATGTAGGATACCAATCATTGATGCTCATCTTAGCAGTCAATCAGTCATACATGATTGCCAGAGAAAATGTCAAGTTTTACCTTGTGAGTAAAGGGAACATAAAGGATATGGATTAGATAACAGAGATGTGAGGGTATGAGAGCAGAGAGAAAATAAAATAAGAAAAAAAAAGGAAAAGAGAGCATGGAGAGAGGCAGCCATCAGGGATGGCAAAATCCTGGCATTTCTCTATAGACAAAACCTTTTCAGCACTGCGTATGCCCATTGACTAAACATCTGGCAAATAAAAGTTGTAAGAAATATATTTCAACTGAAGGTTTACTTCTCACCCCGTGAAAGCAGTAAGAACCACTAAGGAACTCTTTTATGAGTTGGTCATCTGTCAACTTGGATATGTGGGTTGTTCCAACAGTGAGTAATGGCTGAGAGCCAATAGCAATGGGTTTGTGGATTGCTGGAAATCTCTCTTCTTTAGTTGATTGCAAATCTTCCTAAAATTAAACATACATATGTTTAAGGTCTTCCAAGTGACACTTAGTTTTCTTCAGATATGGCTTAAGTTATTATTTTTAAACTGTAGAAAGTTTGGAAAAAAACTGTCTACTTTTTTTTTTTTTTTGAGTTGGAGTCTCACTGTCGCCTAGACTGGAGTGCAGTGGCCACTCCCGGCTACCACAGACTCGACCTGCTGGGCTCCGGCGATCCTTCCGCCTCAGCTTTCCAAGTAGCTGGAACTACAGGTGCGCGCTACCACGCCCGGCTAATTTTTGATTTATTGTAGAGACGATGTCTCGCCAACTTGTCCAGGAGGGTCTCGAACCCACGGGCTTAGGCAATCCACTCACCTCAGCCTCCCAAGGCGTGGGATTACAAGCTGAACCACCGAGCCCGACTGTCTATTTATTTTTAATGTGTTTTAAGAAAATGGACTTTGCCACACTTAATAGTATAGAGAAAGCTCTAGACAAATGTTAGTTCTACCTATCAGTGAGGGATATGGTGACCATCCTAAACATAAAGGGATAATTTCCATTTCATGTATTTTATCTCATTCTTCTTTTTTTGAGTTGGAGTCTCACTCTGTCGCTCAGGCCTATCTCATTATTCTTAATAAGTACTTTCCTACTTAATAGGCTTTATGTTCCCAAATTTAAGTTTGCAAAATGTGGTCACTAAGGGTCAAAAAAGGGTAACAAGGGTAAAGACATGCTGAGTGGGAATGAATATGAATATGAGTTACAATTATTAACGTAACAGGACTTGTTTGTTGCCATTAAGGAACTTGAAATTTAGTAGGAAAGATACAAACTAATAAGGATGCACCAAACAGCAGACTCACAGAGAAAAGGGTGGTTCAAATAGGCTTTGATCAAGAACTGAAATATGAAGACTCCACGAAGAGAAAACCCTAGATCAATTTTTAAAACAGGACTAATTTGTGACTTATGTGTCTATGTGTGTGTTCTGTGACTGTCTGTATATGCATGTAGACTTGAGGAAGAAGTAAAAACAAAGACATGGTATTATAATTTTTTTTTTTTTTTGAGTTGGAGTCTCTCTCGGTCGCCCAGACTGGAGTGCAGTGGTCGCTCCCGGCCACCGCAGCCTTGCCTGCTGGGCTCCAGTGATCCTTCCGCCTTAGCCTTCCGAGTAGCTGGAATTACAGGTATGCGCTACCATGACTGGCTGATTTTTTGATTTATTGTAGAGATGAGGTCTCACTGCCCAGGCGAGTCTCAAACCTGCGGGCTCAGGCAATCCACTCACCTTAGCCTCCCAAATGTGCGGGATTACAGGATAAGCCACCGAGCCCGGCTGGTATTATAATATTTAAAACGCAAAAGACAAGCAGGCACTGTATGGTAGAAGACTATATGCTAAGAAGTCTGGATATTATTTTACAAGTTTTAGGCAAAGTTATGTTGTGATCATATTTTTAATATTACTTTAACAGTGGCAAGGAAGAATGAATAGCAAGGGACAAACCTAGAAGTAGAGAGTCAAGTAAGGAGTTGCAGTAACCCAGGTCAGAGACAAAGAGAATTGAAAGTAAGACAATGGTGGCGTTGGGGTAGAGAGAAAAGAATAATTACAAAAGAGGTTAATAAGCTAGCATCTGGAGGTTAAATGGGTATTGACAGTGAGTGAAGAGGAAATGAATCTAGACCCGAACAGAAGAAGTGAGTACGTCAATTATAACTGAATAGTTTATAAAAATTGGATAGTTTCCAGGCATGGAGGTTCACGTCTGTACTTGGGAGGTTGAGGCGGAAGGATCAACAGAGTCCAGCTGGTTGAGGCTGTAGTTGGCCATGATTTTGCCACTGCACTCTAGTGACAGAGTGAGACTCTGACTCAAAAAAAAAAAAAGCAAATGGTAAATATATAGTGGATACTATGTCTCCTTTTTCACTTGGTATAGTTACCACCAACAAATTGTGGTTCTTTTGCTTCTACTTCAGCTTGTAGGAGTCATTGGATGGTTACTCCAGAAACCAATGGCCTTATCTTCTCTTCCTCCCAATGTCAGAAAGGATAAGGATTGCCAAAATAGTGTCTTTTTTTTTTTTCAAGGACTTTTAATTTTTGAGACAGGATCTCACTGTCTCTCAGGCTAGAGATATGATCACAGCTCACCTCAGCTGTACCTCCTGAGTTCTTCCTAAAACAAACACTTGATTATGTACTTAATCATCTGAGGCCAGGCACAGTGGCTCATGCCTATAATCCTAGTACTTTGGGAGGCCGAGGCAAGAGGATTGCTTGAGCCCAGGATTTTAAGACCATTCTGGGCAACATGGTGAGACCGTCTCTACAATAAATAAAAAAATTAGCCAGCGCGGTGATACATACCTACACTCCCAGCTACTTAGAAGGTTGGTTGAAGGATTGCCTGAGCCCAGTAGGTCGAGGCTGTGGTAGCTGTGAGAATGCCACTGCACTCCAGCCTGGGTGACATAGTGAGATTCTGACTCAAAATAAAAACAAAAACAAGAACAATCTCAAAATAAACCAGAAACCAAAAAACAAAACAAAACAAAAAAACCCACCAAAAAAAAAAAAAAACCCAAACCCCCAACTTTTGGCAGTTAACACAGCCTCATTGCAGCCTCAGCCTCCTGGCTCATGTGACTCTCCCACCTGAGCTTTCCAAGTAGGGACGATAGGTGCGTGTCACCACACACACCTCATTTTTGTATTATTTTTTTGTGAAAACAATGTCTATGTTACCCAGGTTGGTCCTGAACTCCTGGGCTCAAGAGATCCTCCTGTCTCAAACCCCCAAAGTGCTGGGATTACAGGTGTGAGCTACTGCACCTGGCTGGAAATCCTAAATTGTTCAAAAAGCTGGGATAAAGGAAATGGTGATAAAAGATGAGGCTGAAGCCAGACCACAAAAGTGCCTGTATTCCACGAGTGATGATTTTATCCTGAGGTGCAGATCATGTTAACCATCAAAAGATTAAATATATAATCAAATGCTCACTTTAGAAAGCATTTTATCAGCCATGTGGGAGGAATTGGAAAGAATATTTGTGAGACCAGATTCTGGTTCTAGAAAATAATGAGGTCCTGAACTAATCACAGGATGGATTTGAAAGGTCTTTAGAAGAGAATACTGATGGCTCTTAGTGAATGATTAGAGTTTGAAATAAGTAAAGAGATAGGTACAAAAAAATGACTTAGGTTTCAGACTTGGACAATTTGGTAGAGCATAGAGCTTTAACAGCATTGGAAAGACAAGATAAGGATCAGTGTGGAAGAGAAAAAATGATGAGTGTGAGATCACTGACAACACCTATGGCCATGTCCAATAAGCAGATGAAGAGGGAAGACAGCATATCGAAAGAAAAAAGCAGCAGAAAGAAGTGGTAAAAAGGACAGCAATGAGCTGAAGAATAAATAATGTGTAGGAAGGAGATAGAGATGTGGTTGCAGTCTATTTTATTCAAGAGGCTTAGCTGGGACAACTGCCTAAAAATTACAGTAAATAGGATGTCCAAACTTTAAAATATTATAAAATTATGATCATAAGGGAATATTAAAATAGTTTGAGAAGTACTAGAATAAGGAAAAGGATTAAAATAAATACAAATAAGTGGAATTTAAAATTCTGAGCCAGTAAATTACTACTACTATACTACAGAAATCTTTAAAATATTGATATATGCTCAGACATTTGGAAAATGAAGCATTAGATATTAGATATCTAATCATTAGATAATTCTCATACCTCTTTACTTCTCCTAAAAGGTACCCTTAGTATTTCTTCCTGCTGCTCCAACTGCCTCAGGGTGAGGGGCTTAAAAGGTGATCCTGGCATTGATTGGCAAAATATGTCATTCACAGGAGATGCTCTGAACCTATTCAGTAAGAACAAAGTATTAAAGCTAAGCACAGAACACTTTAACGTATTTGTGTGCATTTTGTTTAAAATATTAAATGCACATCCTACCTATATTTAGGATGACTGCACAAGAGTGGTGTCAAAATGACAACTTCATATTCACAAGTTGTAACTTCAGCTACTGAAAGAATTTCATGCTTAGATTCAGGATGACATATGTACATCACAGTACTTGATCTGGGCCGGTTCTGTTTCAAACTACAAGGTGTACCATTTCCCATTCCCACTGGATAGTATGGTGTCATCTGACCTTCGATATTTTTAGTGGGAATCTTTAAAAAAAAAAAAAGAGTATAAGACAGACTTTTCATTAGAAATGGAGATGGGAGTAAGGATGGGAGAAGAACTTATTATTCTGAAAGGAAGAAAAACGACATTTTATTTATAAGCTGAAAGGTAACATTTCTGTATTTTCTTTAAGTTCTTCCTCTAATATTGTTTTGATTCATAAGTTCTTATTTGAGCAAATATATGTTTTCAGAGTTAGTTAATATAGCAAAAAAGATTATTATTTGGTGCTAAAATTAAGATGTAAGTCAATGTGCATTAAACAGAGTGCTACGAGTTCATGATTAATATAAATTATTCTCAACAGTTCTAAAGAAAGAGATTAAGATAAAAATATATGAGCTTACTGTACTGGGTTGCTCAGAGCTTTCTTCTCTAAACTCTCAGTGAATGACTGTCTTAGAGTTTAGATTCTACTGAAGGTTAATGTGCCAAAAAATAGGGCTATAGAGTAAAATATTATATACTAAAACAGGAATTAAAATATAGTGCTGGTTAATTAATCTGCTTACTTCTCTTCCCTGTTTTAACAGCACATACTGTTCAGCATATAAACTCCTATATTAATCTATTCAAGGCCAGCAGACAGACTAAAAATTTTCATGGAATGGGGGAATAGAAGATATAAACTGAGAAGACAAGGATTGAAGAAGTTAGCTCCCATACTTTTCATAAACACAGGAAAAATGTAAGGGCTTTAAAAAAATATTGTTAATCAAATCTCTAAGCAAGCTCTTTGGAGGCAGGGATCTTATCTTATATCACTTTGGTACTCTGTCAGCACCATGTCTAAAACTGGCAATAAATGTTTCGAGGGAAAAATATTCTGAGATTTTCTTGCATGCTATTTTTACGCTAGTGTCTGAAATTAGAAAATCCTGGGTTCAAATCCAAGCTTTGAATTTACTAGATTTATGGCTTTGACCAAATTTCAATTTTTTTTTATTTGTAAAAGTAGAATAATAATATACAGTCATGAGTCACATAATGTGACTTTCAGTCAACGATGGACCGCATTATACATGACAGTAATTCCATAAGACTGTAGTGAAGCACATACAAAAACCTGATATTCAGCACTTGATATTGGCTTTGCAAATCACATAGGGGAAATGACTGATATTCAGTAGCGATGCTTGGACATTCGATTTTCCATAGGAAAAAAGTATAAATAAAAAATAAATGCCATCTAGGTTTGTATAAGTACACTCTCTCATGGTCGCACAATGATGGAATCACCTAACCATGCATTTCTCAGAATGAACCTCCATTGTTAAGCAACGTATGACTATATACTCAAAGGATGTTGGGAGAATTAAACATCAGCTTGTTACATGCCTGGAATTGTTTGCTTTATAAATTGCGACTCAATAAATGTTAGTTTTCTTCCCTTACCCTTTTCTTCCTCTTCCTTTATCATTTCACACTTTGAATTCCATCTTGCTATCCTCCAGAGTCACAGTAAATAAATATTTTATCTCAAAGGTAGTCTGTAAAATTAAAATCTTTTAAAATAGCTGTGCTGTGTGTGTCTATGCTTAGCTTATCAATTCCCCCCAAAGCCACCCTTTTAAGTTATAGGCATCCCTTTAAAGTAATTTTCAAGGCCTTTGCCATTTAACTTTACTTCTAATAAAAATATCATTATATTTAGCCATTTATAGATACCCTATATCAAGTTATTTAAAGTATGAAGATTCTTAGGATTCAGAAAGCATTCCTTGAACTACATGAGTATTTAAAAACTGATTATGTAACCTGTGCAATCATTCCTTTTAAACAATCTATTTTTTAGCCATCATTTTTATCCATTTATTCAGTAAACATTTATGAAGTGCCTATAATATGTCTGGCACTGGTTTTGTACTGTGGGGTAAAGAGATAAAAGATAGTCCCTGCTTTTAAGATGCTTGCAGTCTGGAAGCTTGTTATTTACATATATAGTTTATCTATTTTACCCACTGGAGATGGAGACCAAATAAGAAAAAAATGCAAAGTTCTTACTAGAATTGTTTCTGACATTAAAGGGAACCAGAGTTAAGCAAAGACGTGATGTAATGCTATTACAGAAACTTTCCTAGACATATCAGTGATAGATTTATTTAAAAGAGAAAGATCAAAGTGTAACTTTTCTCAGAAAAAGCAAATATACTGTTAATGCTGTTTGACCCAAGACTGAGGAGTATTTAATAGTTAACACACTGCTATATTCTGTCAATTAGGTTGTACATATTCATGCCTCACTAACAGTAAATGTTGAGTAAAAAACCAAAACCAGTATCTGTTACTTGCCTCATTTGATTTTTCCTTTTCTTCTGCTTCTCGTTCTGTGAAATAATGTAATAGTTAGGTAGATGTAAAGAATGAGTTGTCATACACATAACATACAACATACACACATACACACACACACACACACACAAACACACACAATACAAATGACTGAGTTTTCAACTAATTTTGTAACCTTAAACTTCTTTCGACAGAAGAGCCAAAATATACATGTGATTTTATCTTATTGCTTTAAAGTTAGTTTCCTTGAAATGGTTTTGTATGAAAAGACCGTAATATTTAATCTTTATATCTTTACCTAGGAAACACTCTGTGTCAGGCAAAAAAAACTGGCCAGGGCAATTTTCTTTTAAGGTATTTTTATCTCAGTGAACAGTTTAATTTTAAAATAGTTGACCAATTTGAATAACATAATTAATAAAGATAATTCACAACTTGAAAGACACATCTATTTCCACATATAAAAGATTTGCTTAAACCAAGCAAAAGGCAAACACTATAGAATTATAACACTAATATGTATATCCTACCAGATTTTAAAAACTTTGTTAGTAAGTAGGAAAAAAGCATTTTTATCAAAGCAGAAAATAATGAAAATGAAGACTTCTTCCAAAAAAGTTTCTAACAAGACAGTTCAGAAACTTATTTCAGTGTTATAAAATTCAGTCTCCAGAAAACCTCTTAAATTCCAATCTAAACATACATTTAAAATCAATTCCAGCATTACTATAAAATCACTATGTAAAGACCAACCTTTTTCAAATAGAAGGTTCTTAGCCAACATATTCCCAAGGTAGTATTCATGAATATTTATCTTCTACATTTAAAAAAAGAATAAAAATATAGTAAGTATTTTGCAAAAAAAAATTTTAAGACTACAACTTTAAAACTATCAATCTCATTATTAAAATTCTCATTATTAAATGTTCCATACTTTATACTTTGAAGAAAAACATACCTGACCAGTTTCTTTCTCTTCATGATACTGCCGAATGTGTTTTCCATGACATACTTCGTAAGTCCAATACGACTCAATCTAAGAAAGAGGGATGTATTTAAATACATGAACACCATGTAAAATCAGCTGAAGCACTTTTTGATATCTGAAATAGTGGAGTGATTTCTTCCCAGATTTAGAGTAAGCTTTCATTAAATTACACTTATGACTCAGAAAATGTACAACTTCTGAAATATATTCATTATTTTCACTAATTAGCAGTAGGTGAGAATTCTGTGAAGAAAATAGGTCTAGAAGACACGTGGGGTCTGTACTAACTATCTGGCTTAGGGATAATTTTTTACATAGCTTAAAAAATAACAATAAGCATTTTAAACCAAAATTCTATTATGTAAGAAAATTTTCTTTTGAAATGAAAAAATATTCAAAACAGTTTAGTAAGTGACTGATTTCATACTGATGTTGCTGGGTATCTGCTGCATACATTATGCAGGAATTTAAAAGAACAAAATATTACTAAGGAATAACAGATTTACACATAACTTGAAATCTGATACAACAAAATAAAATAAGAAGAAATGCAGAAGTATTTTTAAGGGTCTACTGGCTGCTGGAAATTCATTTTCTAGTTAAGTGAACATAAAATACATACTCTGTAGGAGCAACTGCTTTGTTTAAACAGTGGTTCCAAAAGCTCTCTTGGATTAGGGCCTTTATAATCCTTTTCTTCTTCCTAAGAAAGAATTGGAGTTTAATACTTACAATTTTTCTAGAACTTTGCTATTTAGGTATTAACTCATTGGTCAAATCACAACTGCTTGGAAATAAAAGAGGAAAAAAGTCAAAATCTTTAACAAGATCCTACAGCATGCCACTTCTTTCAAATGAACTCAAGTACAAAATATGGAACTACAGAATAATCTTCCATAGTGTTCATTCTTTTTTTTCTAAGTTGTGGTCTTACTCTGTCACCCAGGCTGGAGTGCAGTGGCACGATTTTGGCTTACAGCAGCCTTGACCTCACGGGCTCAGGTGATCCTTCTGCCTCATTCTCCTAGAGTGCTGGGATTACAAGTATAAGTCACTGCATCCAACCCTGTTCATTTTTTTCAAATCTAAAAAAAAGAAAAAAAAAAGGCTGGGTGCAGTGGCTCATGCCTGTAATCCCATTGGGAGGCAGAGATGAGAGGACTGCCTGAGTCCAGGGATTCAAGACTAGCCTGGGCAACTTGGCAAGATCTTGTCTCTGCAATTAAAAAAAAAATTAGCTGGGTGTGGTGGTGTGTGCCTGTGGTTCCAGCTACTTGGAAGGCTGAGGTAGAAGGATTACCTGAGCTCAGCAGGTCAAGGCTGTGATGGCTCTGAGTATGCCACTGTACTACAGCCTGGGTGATAGAGTGAGACTCCTACTTAAGGAGAAGAAAAAGTTTTTCCTGAACAATTCTTATAAATGTATTTCATAAGTTTAATATTTGCACTCAAACATTTATCTAGTTATGAAAGCCTTAGAATAGCTGAATCTTGTAGAACATATTCAGAAGTTTTAAGGCACTTTTCAGTTTTCTATTTTTTTTTTAAACATTTCAGATTTGAATACTGTGTGTGTGTGTGTGTGTGTGTGTGTATGTGTGTGTGTTTGTGTCTTAAGGAGATTAGGCTGAGGGTGGTGGTTTATGCCTGTAATCTGAGCAATTTGGGAGACTGAGGCAGGAGGACAGCTTGAGCCCAGTAGTTTGAGACCAGTTTGGGCAACATAGTGAGACACTGTCTCTAAAAAAAAAAAGTTAGCCAGGTGTAGTGGTGCACGATTGTGGTCCCAGCTACTTGGGAGGGTGAGGCAGAAGGAATGGCTGAGCCCAGGAGTTTGAAGCTGTAGTGACTGTGATCATGCCACTGCATTCCAAAAAAAAAAGATTAACAGTAGTGGTTTTAGATAGATTCCAAATCTGAACAAAATTTAAGAAAGCACTGGGTTTAATATTTTTATAGAATATGAAGATATTATATAATTGACTTAATAAATTTATTGAATGGAGAAACTGAATTTCAAATCTGTTCATGGTTCCACAGCTGGCTATATAGCCTATACCTCAGCCTCCTGACTCCCAGGCTGGTGTCCTTCTCATTGTACCATTCTGCCTCTCCTGTCTCACCTTGAAAGAAGTCATTGCCTTGGAGGATGGATAAGAGGCCAGTGGGCATTTTAGGAGGAAGAAAAGGACAGGAGCTAAGGCAGCGAGAAAGCATGAGTGCCTACAGACTTATTTACAAAAATTCTTTATAAAAAGTCACATATACACTTAAAAATTATATCTTGTATAAAAATCCTTATTTTTATAAAATAAAGTATGGAATTGGATTTTTATTCAAAACAATAATCAGGTGCTAATTTTTCCAAGATAAACTACAAAATCAATGAATTCAGGAATAATAAAAGTAATTAATATTTTTATGCTAAAACAGGGTTAGTGAAAAACCTGTTATTCAATTTTATTATTATTATTTTTTGAGTTGGAATCTCACTCTGTTACCCAGGCTAGAGTGGAGTAGCATGCTCACAGCCACCGCAGTCTCAACCTGCTGGGCTCAGGTGATCCTTCCGCCTCAGCCTTCCAAGTCGCTGGAATTACAGGCAGGTGCCACCGCACCCAGCTAACTTTTTGATTTATTGTAGAGATGAAGTCTAACCAAGTTCCCCTTGTCTTGAAACCGTGGGCTTGGGCAATCATCTCACTTCGGCTTCCCAAAGTGCTGTGATTATAGGAGTAAGCCACCACGCCCAGCCTCTGTTATTCAATTTTAAATCAAAGAATGCAGTTGCAATGTTTTAAGTATCTCTAGTAACAGGATTATCAATATATTTATAGAAACTTACCTCATCCCCACTTGTCACAAGGGGAAGTATACATTTATATTTTTCTTTATGTGCAGTTGTCATGATAACATAATTATCTTCTTTATATAAAACTCCAGTGGCAGGCTGGAAATAGAGCAAAAAATTTACATTATTTTCTGGTTAAACTGTATCATACTGAATAACTTTAGTCCTAGCTAATTGAACATTTCAAAAGAAGATTTTTAAAAAGGAGGGAAAATATGTTACATATTTTGTAAAGACAAAATAAAGACAACAAATTTCATCTTGCTGTTATAATTCAAGAGAAAAAATAACAATACAGCTGGAATATTAAGAAAAAAGTAGTAATGCAATAAGTTGAAGTGAAAATATTGATTATACTTGGGAAGCTGAGGTAGGAGAATGCTAGAGCCCGGAATTCAAGACCAGTCTGCGCAACATAGCAAGGGAAAAAAAAAGGCAAAAAAAAAAAAAAGTAGCAAAAGGCAATGCATGTTCATAGCTACACCATCACTGAATGCTTATTACTGCTATTAGTAATTACCATATATAGGTAACAATTCACAGCATTTCATAAATGTACAGTATTCTCATATATGCTGGATGGGACACTTAAACATAATATGATGCCGTATTTTTCATACCTTGCAGATGTATGAATTTACTCAGATATCAACAAAACTATCATTAAAGCTTTTTACACAAATTCACATTGGTTTCACATGAATCTCTATAATTCAAATGAACAATTAATAACTGATATTATTTTAGTAAAAGAAATCTCTGATTTCTGATAGCAAATGTGATACTATTAAAGCAGACTTTTTTTGTGTATTATGTGTCCTATGATCATTCAATTCTCTTCACTTTTCTCTTTTTATAGGATAGTGGAACTATTTTGCTATTCTTGGCAAGGAAATAACCATTTCTTACTAAGTACCTCTGTTCTTTTCTCAATTTCTTTTTTTTTTTTTGAGTCAGAGTCTCACTCTGTCACCCAGGCTGGAGTGCAGTGGCATGCCCACGGCCACTGTAGCCTCGACCTGCTGGGCTCAGGTGATCCTTCCACCTCAGCCTTCAAGTAACTGGAACCACAGGCATGCACCACCACACCTGGCTAATTTTTTGATTTACTATAGAGACAAGGTCTTGCCAAGTTGCCCAGGCTGGTCTGGAACCCCTGGACACTCCCAAAGTGCTGGGATTACAGGCATGAGCCACTGCACCTGGAAGCAACTCTTAACTATAATAAAACCAGTACTACTTGGCATCAGGGTAATCTTAAACACAAATGCAAATTAGAGCAATGTTTTCCTAAAGACAATAAGACAAGACAAAACAAAGCAGTAAGTACTAGCTGTATTAACTCTATGACAGTACTGACTTAAGTGTTTTACATTTATTAACTCATTAATCCTCAAAACAATAATTATACTCATTTTCACAAACAGAACACTGAGACTCAGAGTTTAAACAATTTATGCAAGATTTTTTTTTTTTTTTTGAGTTGGAGTCTCACTGTGTCACCAGACTGGAGTGCAGTGGCCGCTCCTGGCCACCGCAGCCTCGACCCGCTGGGCTCCGGTGATCCGTCCGCCTCAGCCTTCCAAGTAGCTGGAACTACAGGCGCGCGCTACCACGCCTGGCTGATTTTTTGAATTATTGTAGAGATGAGGTCTCGCCAAGTTGCCCAGATGGATCTAGAACCTGCGGGCTCAGGCAATCCACTCACCTCAGCCTCCCAAAGCACGAGACTACAGGCTGAGCCACCGAGCCCGGCTTGTGCAAGGTTAACACAACAAGAAAACCCAAGTAGACTGGCCCCATATTCCATGTGCTCTTAATTGTTTTAATGTATTTGAATTAGTTTTCACAATCTTTTTTTAGATTACTATGTAGAACTCTGGATTATGGCCATTAAACAAAAATCCTTGTTTAAAAGACCATTATAACCTAGGCTTGGTGGTATGTGGCTATAATCCCTCAGCTACTCTGGAGGCTGAGGTAGGAGATATATTTGAGATCAGGATTTTGATGCCAGGCTGCGCAACATAGTGAGGCCCTGTCTCTTTTTTTTAAGTCCATTATAAGATCTGGGCTGAATGCAGTGGCTTATGCTTATAAACTCAGAATTTTGGGAGGCTGAAGCAGGCAGATCTCCGAGGATAAGAATTCGAGACCAGTCTGGGTAAAAGAGCAAGAACCTGTCTCTACAAAAAGGAAGAAAAGAAAGAAAAGAAGAAAGAGAAAGAGATTTAAAAGTAAGAGTTGCAAAGCCAAATTTATAATAAAGGGATCCTCAGAAACATTCATTTAGCTGTGCCAACAATTTGCTGTAAGACACATTTATAATGCCTTTCAATGTTTTTCAGACATATCCAGAATATATGATAGTAAGCTAGGCAAATAACGACTCACATTCAATTAGCAATGGATGGTTTGACATCTTGTTAAGTCATTCTTGTACTGTAGTGAGGGCAGACAGTAGCAAATGACTTAACTGTATTTATGTTGATTTGTGAAGTAGTCCAAGCTGGAGTTACAGCAGAGCAACTCTGATGTTCGGAGTTGAATTCTACAGCAATATTGACTTATTTTACTAAAATGGTCACCAAAATGCTAACAGTGGAAAAAGAAACTGCTTGTGTAAAACTTCAGTAATAAAAGGAAGATGATTCTTAATGCAAATATTTGTTTTCCATTAGTTTAGAAAGGGCTGCTTCCCTCTTCAACAGAACAGACCAAACAGTAATTCTATCTGAAGACTCTGTACTGAGTGAGTCACTAACTGGAACAACAAAGTATAATCTTAACAAATTTTACCCAACTTTTTGGTAAAAAACTGAGAAAAAGTTAATCTTCTGCCATTTTTAAGTTAAAAATTAGAAAAAAATCTACTGGTCAAGACAGTGGCTCATGTCTGTAATTCCAGCACTTTGGGAGGTGGGGATGAGAGGACTGCTTGAGTCCAGGAGTTCGAGACTAGCCTGGAGATCTTGGCGAGACATCGTCTCTACACTAAATAATAAAATTAGCTGGGCATGGTAGCACTCACCTGTAGTTCTAGCTTCCTGGGAGACTGAGGCAGAAGGATAGCCTGAGTTTAGAAGGTCAAGGCTGCGGTGGCCTTGAGCGTGCCATTACACTCCAGCCTGAGTGACAAAGTGAGACTCCAATTCAAACAAAACAAAACAAAACAAAAACAAAACAAAACAAAACAAAATCTACTACTAAAATCATAAGGGGCCAGGTACCACAGCTCATACTTGTAATCCCAGGATTTTGGGAGGTTGAGGTGGGAGAGCTGCTTGAGTCTGGGAGTTCGAGACCAGACTAGGGTAACATAGTAAGGCTTTGTCTTTGCCAAAAAAAAAAAAAAAAAAAAAAAAAAATCAGAAAAATAAGCTGGGCGGGTGGTGTGTGCCTGAAATCCCAGCTACTCAGGAGGCTGAGGCGGAAGGATAGCCTGAGCCCAGGAAGTCGAGGCTGTGGTGAGTTGTTATTGTGCCACTGCACTCCAGCCTGGGTGACAAAGTGAGACCCTGACTCAAAAACAAAACAAAACAAAACACACCCCAAAACAAAACAAAACAAAACCTAGGAGGATTCCAATTTTGTAAAACAAGTTCCTACTTTAAGAAAACAAAATATAAGCTGGACTCGGTGGCTCAGACTGTAATCCCGCGCCTTTGGGAGGCTGAGGTGAGTGGATTGCCTGAGCCCGCGGGTTCCAGACCTGCCTGGGCAGCGAGACCTCATCTCTACAATAAATCAAAAAATCAGCCGGGCGTGGTAGCGCATGCCTGTAATTCCGGCTACTCGGAAGGCTGAGGTGGAAGGATCGCTGGAGCCCAGCAGGCGAGGCTGCGGTGGCTGGGAGCGGCCACAGCACTCCAGTCTGGGTGACAGAGTGAGACTCCAAGTAAAAAAAAAACCAAAATATAAATTTGGAATGTACAGAATTACAGATAGTTTAAGATACTTATTTTATATAACTTAAAATATTTTCAGTATGAGCAGTACTATCAGTGAGTTGACATAAAGTCAAATTTTTATATAATGAAACTAATCAAAGGGAGTGAGGTACTTTAAAATTAAGCTTTAAAAAATATCTTGGCAAGGGAGAAATTACTAATGTTTGACATGGGTCTGCAGGAACCAAGATTGTTAGAGATAAAACTTCTATTCTGGGAAAGGCTGTAAAATACACTCAGTGAAACAATCTGTCAGTGTCTGTGACAGGCTGTAAACCATGGATTTCATCAACATTCTTCCCAACAATAGTGCTTGGGGAAAGTTTTTGAGTAAGAATATACTCCATATCAACAATAGTAGACAGAAAATTATTTTGTGGTTAGACTTGGTGACAACTATGAACTCTAAAGAAATGAATAAACATGACACAGAAATATTAGTTCAGAAGAAAAATAAATACATAAAACAAAAACTAAATGGTAAAATACAGTAAACAAAGAATATCATAATTATTAACTAGTTAATGTAAACATCAAAAAAATTTACGGCTGGGTGAGTGGCTCATGCCTGTAATGCCAGCATTTTGGGAGGGAGAGACAACAGGACTGCTTGAGCCCAGGGGTTCAAGAACAGACTGGACAACTTGGTGAGATCTTGCCTTTACAATAAAATCAAAAAATTAGCCAGGCGTGGTGGCGTGCGCCTGTATTTCCAGTTACTTGGAAGTCTGAGGAGGAAGGATAGCCTGAATCCAGCAGGTCAAGGCTGTGGTGGCTGTGAGCCTGCCACTGCACTCGAGCCTGGGTGACAGAGTGAATTTTTTTACGCATTTTTGGTGCTTAATACTTTTTTAAAGCAAATTTGAAAGCAAGATTGCAAAAGAGTTTGTGTTGTTTTGATATATCTGAATGGAAGATGATTTAAAACAGGGAATTTTAAAACTTGGAAACAAAAAAATCGGACCTTCCATTCTGGTCTCTTCCAATTTCAGATAGTAGAGAGACAAAGGACCTTATCCTACTTCATACAGCTGCTTATTAGTCAGATATAAATATCTAGCCAGCTGGCCCATTAAAAAAAAAAAGTGCCAAGTGAGGAGGATAGTAGTTTCAACTAAATAAAGCACAGAAGGGACGCTTCAAGTATTTCAAAAAAGTAAAAATAAAAAGAACAGTGATAATGACTATAGTGACTTATTTTTGCATGAGAGTCTTAGGCCTTTTGCCAATTCACAGAAAAATGTCTCTAGATTTTTCTCAAAATAAATCAAACTTAAAAAAAAAAAAAAAAGCCAGGCGCAGGGGTGAGCACCTTAGTCTCAGCTACTCAGGAGGCTGAGGCAGGAGCACTACTTGAGTCCAAGAGTTAGTGGCTATAGTGAGCTTGAGTGTGCCTGTAAGTAGCCACTGCACTCCAGCTTGGGCAACATAGCAAGACTTCATATCAAAAAACAAACAAAAAAGTCCGAAAATTTCAAAATAAAATTAATAAGATAAGTGAAAGGTTGGTGTAGCATACCGTAAGACTGAAAGAAAATGTAACAATTTGCTAGTAAAAAGGCTAGTTTTAGTCATTTCACATATAGATCAACAATTTTTCAAAGCTGTATATCTGCATTTTTTTTTTTTTTTTTTTTGAGTTGGAGTCTCACTCTGTCACCCAGACTGGAGTGCAGTGGCCACTCCCGGCCATCGCAGCCTCGACCTGCTGGGCTCCGGCGATCCTTCCGCCTCAGCCTTCCAAGTAGCTGGAACTACAGGCGCTTGCTACCGCCTGGCTCATTTTGATTTATTGTAGAGATGAGGTCTTGCCAAATTGCCCAGGTGGGTGTCGAACCCGCGGGCTCAGGCAATCCACTCATCTCAGCCTCCCAAAGGCGCGAGATTACAGGCTGATCCACCGAGCCTGGCTTATATCTGCATTTTTTAAAATTAAAAAAACCACATATTAGCAAGAGCAAAAAATGTTAATGACCCCATTCTTCAAACATTTACCATGTTTGCTGATTACAAGTGTGCTCTTTGGATACAACAATGGAGGGGCAGATTTAAGTATCTCACGCCAAGCATGCTAAAGTTAAATTTGATTTATAACAAAAATTCATATACGTATTTTAATATATTAATATTTTACAACATTAGTACAAAGAGAAAACTGACTCCCCAGAGAAATATTTACCTAGATCAACTTGAAAACCATTGAATAACCAGAATGGGAAAACAGAGGGCTGGGGAAATAAATCAGGTGTGAAATATAAACAAAAAAACTAACATTTGCAAATAGAAAACTTTGTGGAAATGATAATATACATAACTTGACAAATCTTGTTTAGACACCGTGGTACCACTTATTAACGTCTCAGTAAAATAGTAATAGAACAATATAAAAAAATAATCTCCCAAAGTGAATGATTGCAGGTAACTGGAATAAGTTTTTTTGTTTTGTTTTTTTTAACTTTTGCTTTCTCCAGGACTTCAATTTGAAGTACCCTAAGAGCACAATTTTTACCGGCTTGCAGTAGTGACACGCAGATAGGAAGACTTTTCAGCTGTCTATGCCCCTAATACGGAATTTTCATTCCCTTGAGGTTATAAATACGTTCTTCACGCTAGGAAAACTCATCATAAAAGCTTACTTCAAAGGATACTCTGCATAAAGGGTCGTTAACATCTCACAGGCCAAATATCCCTCTCGGAAACAACTTTGAGGGGGGAAGAGGTCCCCTGGGGGCTGTGCGCGTTTGTGTGTGCCTGTGGGTGTGCCCGAGAGAATAAGGACGAACACGAGAAAGAGAACTCGCGTCTGCAGTACCGTGGCGGGGTGGTGTGTGCTACAGAGGGACAGGCTGCTGGTGCAGAAGAACCGCCGTGCATTCTCCAAAGGGAAGATGAATCAGTGTGTCAGTTACTCTAAGAAAGCTTCTTCCACAGGGTGGGAGTGTTGGGAAACAAGGTCTAGTAGGACAGAATTGAAAAGGGGAGAGCAGGTGATCGCTGGAGGCCAAATTCTTCGCATGGGGGACACACCCTCACAATCTGAATGAATGAACATACGCGGGCAAAGAGGCTCAGGCTTGGAGAGTGAAGGTAAGTGCCTGTAGAGAAGGTTTTTTGGGGGGGCGAGGGGAAGTAGAGTAAACCGAGGGATGAGCCGAATCCTTAGTGCCAGGAGGAGGGGAGATGGCTGCGGGGCTCGTGGGGGCACTGACCAGAGAGAACTCGGTGCCGGGCCAGTTGACTCGGAAAGGGATGTCATCGGTGAGCGGAGGGAGAGCTCGGCCGCCGCCGGACGCCTCCAGGAGGCCGCAGAGGACCAGTAACACCGGCCCGCCGGGGACCAGATTCCGCACGCCGCCGCCTCCTTCCTCCATCCTCCGCCGCCGCTTTCTCCAGCCGCCGCCACAACCCTCTCTGCCCAAAGAGGAGAGGTGGAGGAG